GCAGAAAAGACAACCCAGAGGATCCCTCTGCAGCCCTGCGGAGCAGACCTGGACCCCATCTGAGGGCGGCAGACCCTTTTCCCTGCCTCCAGAGAATAATCCCAGGTCCCTGCCTGCCTCTGGGCTCCACGAGCATCGTGGGGGGCGGGGGGACCCTGGGAGGGTCCATGCTCTTAGAACAAAGTCTTCTGAGAGCTTGGCGAAGGCATTTCCACCACCACAACCACAGCCCCCAGCCCAGCCCTGACCAGTTCGAAGATTCAACCACCAGCCTTCCTGTACCCCCTTACTCTCGCCCTCCCTGCAGCCCGGGCCCTGCCATTCTTCCGGCCAGCCCTTCCTCACTGCCACATTCCCTTCTGGTCCAGCTCCCTTTCCCTGAGGTCCCCCGGACCGCCTGGCTCAGTCCTAACAAAGACAGCCTCCCCTTCTTGCCCTCCACCCCTTCCTTCAATGGGAGGTTTCAATAAATGGCAATGAAGAAGTCGTGCCGCTGTGTGGACGTGTGAGCTGCACAGCCGTCTGCCTGTGCTTGCACGTGCATGCACGCGTGGGCGCACAGGGACATGCAAGCTGGGCGGATGTGAACGTGTGCGTGCGTGTGTGAGTCTGCTGAGGTACGTATACGCTAAGCCTTACATATTAGCCTGCTCGAGCTCCCATAATAACATGCCACAGACTGGGCCACTTAAACCACATACTTTTCTTTCTCAGAATTCTGAAGGCTGGCAAGTTCAAGATCAAGGTGCTGGCAGACTCACTTCCTAGTGAGGGCTGTCTTCCTGACTTGCGGCTGACCGCTTTCTAACCGTATCCTCCCGCGGAGGGAAGAGAAAGGAAGCAATCTCTCTGGTGCCTCTTCCATAAGGACGCTCATCCCAACTTGAGGGCCCCACCCTCACGACCTCATCTAACCCCAGTTATCTCCCAAAGACCCCGTCTCCAATTACCATCGCACTAGAAGTTAAGGCTTCAACATACGAATGTGGGCAGGAATACGATATAGTCCATAGCGGGTTCTGTGCTTGGGAATATCACGTGTATATCTACAGGTCCCAGTGTGCATGTGAGCAGATGACTGGACAGACCCAGAGTGGCTGCAGACAGAAGCCGGGGCTCCTGCAGTCATGACCTTCCTGTCCTACTTGCCCCAAGTCTCTGATCCACGTCCCAGCCCTGCGCCCACCAGACAGCTTTGTCTCCTAGTTAACTGAGAAAACCGCAGCCAACACCGACCACCTTCGATGTCGGCTGCCATGTTTCCCACATTTCCTCCCGTCGCAGCAAAAAGCCCGGCCTCCGACGGGGCCCTGCCTTCAGCCTCGCCCACCAGCACTATCTGCTTGGCTCTCTGCCCAGTCCCTCTCTCCTGGCTCCTTCCATCACCAGTTAAATAAGCTCGAGCCTCTTCTATCTTAACAAAAAGCAAACAAGCAAACGACCCCTCCCTGGATGCAGCATCTCCCTCCAGCGACCACACTGTCTCTCTTGTTCAAATCCCAGCTCCGTTGAGAAGCAGCCTGCCCTCCTACCCCCGCTTTCCAAGCTCACACATCGCCACGCTGCACTCTGGCTCCCACCCCTTCCATGAAACTGCTCTCGCCCAAGACACTCATCACTCCTGGGCTGAATCCATAGGTCACTTTTCATCCCTCTTCTGGCTTGCCCTCTCAGCAGATTTGGTTCTATTGGCCACGCCCTCCTCCCTCGGTTTCTGACACGCTCGCAGCTCCTTCTCAGTCTCCTCTGGGGTTTCCTCAAGGTTCTACGTTCCCAGAATCTGCTAACTAAACAGTTGCGTGACCCTGGACCTCTGGTCATCACTGAGTGGACAACTGGGCACTGCTGGTCTGAATCTCATTAATCTTGGTCTGTCTGGTCTGGGATGTGAGTCATGTGGGTTCTAGTCCATCTCTTGGTCCTTGTCCTGGGAAGGCAAGTTAGCATGACAGGGGGTTGGCACAGATGGAAGTCGAACAGAGAAAGCCAAGAACAGCGGAAGAACCAAGCAGGTACACAGAGAAAGGGAAAACGAGACATGGGCCCAGATGAACAGAGCTGGTGAGACTATCTGCACTGATTCCTCGTGAATTCCAGGTCCCAGATCCTTATCGTTCCTGGAGGCACTTTCTGACCCTGGTTCTGGGAAATAGCCCTGAATCCTCCAAAAAAGTCCCCCTTTTTGTTCAAGCTAAATTTGAGGATTTTTGTTCCTTATAACCAAAAAATTCCAAAAGCAGTTCCTCTTCCTCTACCATGGCTTAAATGCTGACATGCCTCAGAACTCCTGCCTAGGACCGCTTCTGCTAATAATCTTCCCAGCCCTGTCCCGTGGAAATATGATGTAAGCCACGTACGTCATTTAAAAATGCCTAGTCACTATTTTTAAAGTTATAAAAGTGAAGTTATTTTAATAATATGTATAATAATAAATTGCATTTAACCCCATATAGCCACATATTACCATTTCCACATGTAATCAACATAAAAGTTATCATTGAGCGATTTTATAGCCTTTAAATTATATCAAGTCTTCAAAATCTGATGCGTATTTTATCCTAATGGCATGTATCATTTCAAACTATATCAATTCAGGCACTCAGTAGTGGCTACCACGTTGGACAGCTCAGACACACTCCAAGGCTTTGATGATCAGACGCAGAGCTAATTGCTCTCAAATCTTTAATTGGATATTTGAAGAACAGCTTAATAAACATGAATGAGAGAACATATCGTATTCCTGCTTCAACCTTTCGGTGACTTCCCATTGGGATGAAGTTTAAACTCTGTCGTGGTCAGGCCCCAACCTGCTTCAAGGGGTTCAGTCTTTAACGCCCTCTATCTTGTACCCTGAAATCCAGGCTCATTCCACTTCTGTCAATTCCTACATTGCACTAACCTTCTCTTACCCCTGCCCTGCATATATGCCCAGCACTTGACTTCTCCCCATCCCACTCCCATTGCTCTTGGCTTAGGGTCAGCTGGCAATGGGGCCACCAAGGCCTCCCAGAGCTTGAATGGGTCTCAACCTAGAGAGAGAAGAATCGGGCTCATTGAGGAACACTGGCCACCCCACTCTCCTCCATCCTTCTGCTGTCCAGAATTCAGGGTGGCTCCCAGAACATTCCTATGTTGTTTCAGGATATTTATTGCAAAGACACATGGGAATACAAGGGAAGATGCCCAGGGAAGCACGTGCCAGTCACATGATCAGGACTCCTGGTGAACTAGGATGCTGATCAGGAGGTACTGACCCTTCACATGCCATTCCCGAACCCCCATCTCTCCAGCTCTGCTTGTTCCCCTCCAACTCCAGCTCTTCCTGCTTCCTCTACCCCTTCTCTCTGCACCTGAGCTGGGCCTCCAAATGGCTCAGTGAATTGCCACTCAATACGGATCACCTCGCTTGGGCGGAGTCCTCCTGCCGAGCCACCTCCTTGGTTACTGGCCTTATGTCCAGCCTTTAAAAGGAAGTCTTTGGATGGACTTCTAACTTCTGTACCAGGGATGGCTCCATAGTGTAGCGGTTAGCACGTCTGTTTTACACGCAAAAGGTCCTGGGTTCGCGCCCTAGCTGGAGCCACGGACCATACCCCAGGTGCGCCAGGCCCCCCGAGTGCGCAGGGGGAGACAGGCCCCAGGTGTGCACCGTAATTGCGTGGGAGGAGGTGCCCCACCTTCAGAGATCCAGTTCTTAAGGGAAGACGGCAACATCCGTAGGTCAGGGGTGGGAGTGCGGAGGGGAGGATTAAAGAGGAGAAAAAAATAAAAAATGATAATTTCTGCACCATCTGTCAGCCAGGTTAGCCAGGCCACAGGCACACGGTCATAAAACACAATTTGCATCCTCGATCAGAATCTCGCTATGCGCCTGGCAGGCACCCAGAGTCTGCCAGACATCTCTCCAGGTCAATCATTTCAAACTCACGCTTGGGGCACGTGCTCTAAGCAAGAATGTTTTCTTTAATCTGCAAGTTACTTATTTGAAAGGTGTTAAAATGATAAAATTTAACAATAAAATCATACAAAATCCGGGTGTCAGAAAATCTGGGGTATGTGATAGCTGTTAGCACAGTAGAAAGAGAGCTTCAGTCAAGAGGGCCGAGTTCTAAAATCGCTTGCTATGTGATCACGGAAACTCTCTTGCCTACTCTGAACCCTGGTCTTTTTATCTGCACAATGAGGCATTTTCACCTGTGGGATGGCATTTATCTCTGATGGCATGTGGCTCTGTGGCTCTTCACCAGTTGGAAATCCCCAGATTTGACCCCTTTGTCCCCAGAAGATAATTCCTGGCTCTACAAATCAATTGCCATGTGACCATTTCCATTCAGAAACTCTGCATAAGCTGGGAGGCTGGTGGGAAATCCCCTTCCTAAACAGATGACCCCAGAAGCCAACCACAATTCAGTTCCTGGAGTCTCCAACGGAGTTTTACCCAGACTCAGGCTGGCCGGAAGCTGGTCAGGCACTAGGGAGGGAGCTCTCCTTCAAGGCGGAGTTGGGCACCAACCCAGAAGTGGGGGTGGGGGGAGCAGTGTTTGGAGGGACCCACCTTTCCCCCTGCTGCCCTCAACACTCCACCCACTCCCCTGTAAGGGCACCAAGTCCTGGCAGGAGACTGGCCTCAGACCTCCCCAAGCTGTTTGTCCAGCTGTCCTCACATCCCCAGGCCACAAGGTTTTCATATACCTTGGCGTGGAGAATGTTGTCAAGCATTTGGATCCCAGCCCAGAACCAATACTGGGAGGAAGGAGGGAGACAGGCCGGGTTGCGTCTCTCTGCGGGCCTCCCCTCTTCCCTTCCAGACGATCTCTAAGAGCTCTTTAGCTAGGCAGTCCGCACCTCTAGCGCAGCAGTTAAGGACTTGGCTTTGAAGTTAGAATAGGTTTTAACCAGTCTAAGACTTTGCGTATCCCAGGACCTCAAGAGACAATCAACACCCCCCAGCTTAACACACAGAAGCGTAGTTTGTGTGAACTGCACCAAACGACAGGACATCTCGACTCCTTCCAAAGAGAAGCTGGAGATCAAACTGCTTCTCCTCCACAATAACATGGAGTCTGTGCCCAGAAGCACTGGGATGGTCTCCTTCCCTCCACGGCCCTTTGCATTGCCTAACTTGTACAGTGCCTGGGGTACCTCCTGTACCACGATGGGGCCCTTGTCATCTGCCAGGTTCAGACATATGTCAGCACATTGAATGAAGAGAGGTGGCGGGGGAGTGAATGGGAACCAGACTGCAGAGAGGGCCAGCCAGAAACCCCAAGTGGAAACACTCCATAGAGGGCAAGTGGGAGCCCAACAATCAAGTTAGAGTATGGTGGACAAGAGTGTTGACCGGGCACAGGAAGATGGGATCCCGATCCCGCTGCTCCCTCGGGGCAGGCCTGGGCAGGGAGAGAGCTACAGCACCGTGGAGCCCAGGCTATGCTGCTGCACTCACGCGGAACGTGGACGGCTTCCCGTGCTCACCTTGCAAACGGTTTCCTGTTGAGGAATATCAGAAATGTTTCGGTTGGAGTCATCCGTATGACCGGAACACCCTTTGCCAAACAGATGTGGGATGGATCGCTATACAAAACCAGTCTGAGATATCTTTTAAGGTGGCCTTTCTCAGCCTTAGCCCTCCTGACATTTGGGGTCCAAAGAGTTCTTCCTCGTGCATTGTAAAATGCTCTCTTGGCACAGCCAACCCATGATCCAACAATCGGATCCCATAGAAACTCATCTCATCGTAGCTCGGGGCTGCCCTGATCATGAGGGACGAGAATTCAGGAGCCAACTGTTGGAGGAAATCAAGCGATTGTCTTAGTGTTGTGGCTAAAAATAAGTTCGTGCTGATTGCAAAAATAAAAAAGGTAGGGGATTTGCATCCAAGTAAGCTAGAAAGCTGAGACACCGGAAGAATCCATCTGCATCGTGTGCGATGTGGGTCTTAGGTCCCACTCCTTCGAAAGCAGCCCGACCTCTAAGTTTTCTCCCAATTGAACAAAGCTGTGGTCCTATAAGATGTAAGTGTCCCCAGAAGACCAAAGACAAGGGTTGCCAATTTTAGCAAATAAGAATCCAGGATGCTCAGTTAAATTTGAATTGCAGACCAATTAATAATTTTTTAGTGTAAGTACATCCCGTGTAATTTTACACTACAAAAAAAATTATTTGTTGTTCCGACATTCAGATTAATTGAATGTCCTGTATTTTCTCTGACAACCCTCCCCAAAGACAGGTTGTTAGGATCCTGCCCACTAAAAACAACAGAAGCCCCTCAAGAGGCCACCACACTTCTCAGAACCCAGTCATTAAAAAGAAGACAAAAATATCCCTGCCCCCAGATGCCCAGACGGGGCCCCCACCCAGTCCACCCCTTCCCGCCACCCCCACCGCAGTCACCCTCTCCTGCCCTTTATACCCACTTGGAGAAATTCCACCCACACACAGATGCTTGGAGGGTTAATCCTTCTGCTACCAAGTCACACTTTAACTGTTCCCTCCAGGCCAAGGATTAACGACTGCCCACACAGGGGTCAGGGCGATAGTGGGCCTGAAAGTGAAGCCCCCACCAGATGAGACGGAGCTGCAAGAGACAGTGAGAAACAGAACAAGGAGAGAGAGAGAAGCAAGCAAGGGCGGCCCGGCCAGGCTGCCATCTCCCTCTCAGGGCCAACTCAGATTCAGCTCTGAGAGCAATGCAGCAGCGGGAGCGGCAGCAGCCCCTCTCCTCCCGCAAGGGGACAGCACGCAGACAGACACGCACACGGAGGTCCGGGGACCGGCAGTCCTCGGCCTCCCGCTGCTCGGCGGGCCCTGGCCCTATGGCCTTCAATGACCTCCTGCAGCAATTGGGAGGCTTTGGCCGCTTCCAGCAGATCCAGGTCACTCTGATAGTCCTCCCCATGCTTCTGATGTCTTCCCAAATCACCCTACAGAACTTCACAGCCGCCGTTCCCACCCACCATGGCTTCCCGCCTGCAGACGCCAGCCTCAGCAAGGATGGGGAGCTGGAGGCCTGGCTGCTCCGAGACAGGCAAGGGAGGCCTGAGTCCGGCCTCCGCTTCACCTCTCCACCATGGGGACCGCCCCTTCCCAACGGCACAGACGCCAACGGCACGAGGGCCACAGAGCCCTGCGCCAGTGGCTGGATCTACGACAACAGCTCCTTCCCTTCCACCATCGTGACCGAGGTGAGACTACTGGGGCCTCCTGCCCCACCCCTCCAACTCCTGCATCCCCATCTTACCATCCCCCCACACACAGATGCAGCCCACGTGACCCTGATTCATGTCGATCAGAATGCGGGAAGACCCTGGAGCTAGGAAGAGCTTTGTCCAAAATGTGAGAGAACAGTGGTCGGACTGGGGGGCTCCCTGGTAGAAGAGAAGCGGAAGTCCGTGCAGAAAGCTGCTCTCTGCCCTTCTGCTCCTACCAGAGAGGAACATTCACGGGAGTTTAATATTCTCCTTTGGTTTCCCAGGGGGTGTTCGGGGGGCAATTCCACCGGGGAGGGAGGCAGGGAAGTGGTATACAGAGGAAGGGAGCAAGGAGGCGTGTGGGTAGCTCGTGGACATTCCTAAACAGGGGACTCTGGGCTCCAAGTCCTAGAGACAAAAACAGTTTCCTCATTTCATGTAGAAATAGCTCTCAGCAGCTGGTGGGAATAGATGGAGAGCAGCCAAGGAAAAAGGACGGGAAAGAGAACGGGGTCGTGGGGCCCCTTTCATCTCTCGTGATTTAACGCCCCTCCCCACAAACACACACACACACACACACACACACCCATTTGTAGAGTCACCCCGGCCTGCTGAGCAGTTCGCCGGCTGAATTCCGCACTCTGTACCTGTCACATTCATCATGCTCTCAGCATCCGTTCTAGTCAGTGGTCTTTTGATTCAAGGAAGAGAAACTCTCTCGGATCAGCTCATGGGAAAAGTGGGTGTTACTGCAAGAATACAGAGGTTTCAAAGCATCTAGGGACAGGAAACAAAGCAGGTCCAGGCCTCACGGAGCACAAGAGGCATCGCCATACACTTGCTCCATTCCTGTCTCCTCCTCAAGCCATTTCATCCATGTGCTCACCTTGCCACGTGACCACGAGTCCCCGCTCTGATCCATTGCCTCTCAGATTTAGGGCCTACCACCAACCACAGTGTTTCTGTGTATCTTAATTCGAATTCTTAGAAAAGTCTCTTCTCAGCTCAGTGCAATACATTGATGAGCCTGGCGCCACTCCCACAACTGCGTCAGGTGTCCGCACTTCATCTAGTCACCATGCCAAGGGCAGTAGAGTGGGATCATGTGGCCCCTTGCCCCTTAGTCAGGGCTGTGCAAAGGAGATGCTCTGAGTAGGGGCTGTGGTCAGGCATAGTCCCCAAACTTGCCTGATGCAGCATCTGTCTGAAAGTGATCAGAGTTAAGCCATACTCCCACCAGAGAGACCCAAGACCCAAAGCCGAAGGTGATAAGTATGGTATACCACCTCCCAGGCATGCAGGTATCATATGTCATCTCCCCCATGCATACGTAGTTGGGGGGACTTTCAGCCTCAACCCAAGTTCTGAGACATCCACATCTACCCACCTTAATTTGTATGTTATTGATCCTTCCAATTCTGCTTCCCCATTTCCTTTCTTAAAATTTGACGCTCCGGCCCGCCCTGCCCCGCGGCTGGGCTGGGACGCAGTGGGGTGCATGCCGTCACTGCCGCTGGGCTTAGGAACCGAGACACTACTTGTCCAGGGTGCCAGTGAAACTCGACGTGTACCCTCCCGCGAAGATGGAGGGGCCTTTGTCCGTTTGGGGGGACTACCTGCTCCCAGAACATTTTGGCTTCAGCTTCTATTGCCAATATCGTAAAAAGTTTTCTTGGTCCCATTGGCTTAGTTGGTGGATAAAATGTTGGTGGATGACGTGGGTTATGTGACCGTTACTGATGATGGTGCCACCGTCCTGAAGTTACGGGAGGTAGTAAACATCCTGCAGCTAAAGTTTTCGTGAGCTAGCCCACCTGCACGACAAAGCAGTGGGAGATGGAACTACCTCCGTGGTTATCACTGCAAGAGAACGTCTAAAAAACGCAAACGAGTCACACAGAAAATTCATCCCACATTGGTTATTAGTGGCTATCGACTTGCTTGCAAGGAAGCAGTGCGTTATATCAATGAAAATCTAATCATTAAAACAGTTGATCTTAGAAGAGATTGCTTGATTAATGCTAAGACATCGATGTCACCCACAGTGATCGGAACAAAAGGTGATTTCTTTGCTAATATGATAGTAGATGCTGTATTCCCTATTAAATACACAGATGTAAGAGGCCAGCCTCGCTCTCCAGTCTCTTCCATTAATATTCTGAAGGCTCATGGGAGAAGTCAGATGGAGAATCTGCTCATCGATGGCTATGCACTCAACTGCCTGGTGGGATCCCAAGGCACGCCCAAGAGAACAGTTAATGCAAAAATTGCTTGCCTTGACTTCAGCCTGCAGAAGACAGAAGTGAAACTTGGTGTACAGGTAGTTATTACAGATCCTGAAGCAGTGAACCAGATTAGACAGAGAGAATCAGACGTCACTGAGTTGCAAATCTAGAAGATCCTGGCAACTGCACCAATGTTATTCCAGCCACTGGTAGAATCAATGACATGTGTCTGAAGAATTTTGTGGAGACTAGAGTTATGGCAGTTAGAAGAGTTTTTTAAAAGGGACCTTAAGCGCATTGCTAAAGCTTCTGGAGCAACTATTCTACCAACCTTGACCAATTTAGAAGGCAGAGAAACTTTTGAAGCTTCGATGTTGGGACAAGCAGAAGAGGTGGTGCCGGAGAGAATCTGGGATGATGAACTGATCTTGATCAAAAACACTAAGGCTCGTACATTTGCCTCAATTATCTCACGTGGGGCAAAGGAATTCACGTGTGAGGAGATGGAGCGCTCATTACATGATGCTCTTTGTGTGGTGAAGAGAGTTTTGGAGTCAGATCTGTGGTTCCAGGTGGGGGTGCTGTTTCGGAAGCAGCCCTTTCCATGTACCTCGAAAACTACGCAACCTGCGTGGGGCCTCGGGTACAGATTGCTATCGCAGAGTTTTCAAGATCTCTCTTTATCATTCCTAATACACTGGCAGTTAATGCTGCCCAGGACTCCACTGATCTGGCTGCTAAGTTAAGAGCTTTTCATAATGAGACTCAAGTTAACCCAGAATGCAAAAATGTAAAATGGATTGGTCTTGATCTGGTCAATGATAAACCTCGAGGCAACAAACCCACAGGGGTGTTTGAACCAACCAGAGTTAAAGTTAAGAGTCTGAACTTTGCAACAGAAGCTGCAACTACCATTCTTCAAACTGATAATCTTATTAAACTACATCCCGAAAGCAAAGATAAGCACACAGGTTATGAAGATGGTGTTCACTCAAGAGCCCTTGATGACTGATCAGATTTCTGTTTTATTTATAGCAATGTTAGCTGCAATTGTCTCATACCTTGCATATGACACATTAAAGTACAATGAGCTGTCAAAAAAAATTTTTACACTCTGCTTTCCAAGGTTGACAATACTCCAGGAACTATCAACCTAGCTATTGCTCTTCTGTTCAAAACAGCAGGCAGTTTAATCCAAAAGCTCAGATTTCTTGCCATTTAGAGCAAAGAATCTGGGTAAGCAAACGCCTTGGATTTCCTTCTAAATGAAGACTTGATAGTAATTTCCTCAGCATTTTTGGTCTCAATGACTGACAAGCCCAGATGCCCATTCCCTGAGATATATGGAGATGCCATGAATAATCCAATCCTCTTTCAGCAGACGCTGTGGACAGGACCATTACCCACCACCACACATGGGCACGGCGCTTAGAAGACTTATTTCATAAGCACAGTCAGGACACCTCTTCCTTGGGCCAATAATGGCAAAGGCTATGGCTGCACCAGAAAACACTTCATGAGGATAATGGACAGCTTATATGCACAACCTAATGTGAAGCTGGACCTTCTAAGTTGCGAAGTAAATGAAACAGCTCACGAGTTAACAGGAGCTGCTTAAGCAACAAGCTGAATCGCAACGAAGACACCCCACCCAGGCCACATGGCTGTATCTGGTCACAATGGCACAGGTCACCTGAGAAAGACAAGTCCCAGCTTACCCCTTGGAAGGAACTCCCAAATGGCCCAATATCCCATAGGGATACTTCAGCGCTCTGAATGCAAAGTGAAAAATAAGTAAATGTAATAAGAAAAAGAAGCTGGCTATGAGTTATTTATAATAAAAACCCTGCCTGAGCTCTTCTCCTTATTTTCTTCCAAATTAAAATATCCTTAGCACTAACGAGCAGCTTCCATCTGTACATTAGTCAGGACTCTTGTTTCCAAGTGGCCGTAATTCAACTCAAATTAATTTGAGCATAAAAAGAGTGTGTAAAGGCTCCCATAACCAAACACGAGATGGGCAGAGATGGAGCTGGCTCTAGAGACAATGGGAACCAGGGCCATGGATGTCATCGGGACCTTCACTGGCTCTCATCTCTGCTGTTCTTTGCATGCTGGACATGTCTACTGTGCTACAAGATACTTAATAAGGTGGCCACTGACCATTCTGGGCTCACTCCTAATAACTTCATCACCAGAAAGAAAAAAGGTTTCTATCTCTCAGCTCCGAATTTGAAAAATTCTAGGGAAGACCGATTGGTTGGCTTGGGTCACGTGTTTATCCCTTGGTCCAATGACCGTAGGGCAGGGAGGGCATGGGTTTTTATGAATGACCCAGGCTGAACCTCCTCTTCCTTCACATCCTGCGGATGGTCATTAGTTATCATTTCACCTCTCTACTTTCTGGTCCTGTTTTCTCTTTTTCTCTTTTTCTTTCCCCTGAGGCAAGTCTCATGGAATCTGTCATTTACCATGGTCTTTAAAAAGTTAGCCATGCAGAGCTGTCTTAGGCAGAAATTCTCTTAGTCTCCCTTAAATCCTATTCCTATACTTTGGATTCTGTTAGTAATAAACTAATTCTCTATCTAAGAGGCCCAGGAGCACCCAGAAATATTTGATCCTCCGAGTTTCGGGTGCACATGAAGAGAACACACATGGTGGATAAACCCCATGCGACTGTTGCTTTTGCAGACGACAAGCTCCTTAGAGCAGATCAGGACAGAGAGATTCTTTCCGAGTATTCTGTATCTATTGATCAATTTCTAATCTGGACTATATGTAGATTCCATCACTAGACAGCATACAGATTTGGTTCTCTGTGCACAACTCTGACTTCTCACCTCTTCCCTACATCTTCTTGCTTCTTATCCTTCCATTGCCCGGTTCCTGTCTACAATCTCCTTAACCCACTCACCACGATGTCCCCCACGTACATCCCTACGAGTATATTCCATTCACATCACATTTCCGTTAAAGTACAGTTAACATTCATTCCCAGTCTGACACTGCCCCAGAATCTTTTACAAATAAAAGTTATATCAGACAACACAGAATTTCAGAAGAGCAGTTATTTCAATAAAGCAGCAAAAAGTCCATTGCTCTTTGGAAAAAAGTGTTCAAATGATGACGTCCCAAATTTTACATCATGTGTGTGCATCCATGGGATATTAGAAGTCCCACAGTAATAATTACATTCAAAAATAATTATATTAAAAAAATAGTTGAAAGATGAATTTGTTTGGATATATATTCATACATCTTAGGTGGCATTCCCTAATTGTCCTGGTTATTACAACCCCTTTCCCATTTTTTTTTTTTTTGTTAACAAAAGAAATGACACTTTGAAAATCCACTCAAAACTATACAAAACGTAGCTCTTCATTGTAAAGAAATGCCACATTTACTTATCATTTCAATTTAATCTTAATGGCACATCCATGAGCAGATGATTCTCCTGCAGGCTATAGAGCTATTTTATACCTCCTAGAGAGAAAATACTTTCAAAACGAGACTTTTTTTTTCTTATATTAATTAAAAAGAGCAACAAAATGTAAACTATAAGTTGTACTATCCAATTGCTTTTTATTTCAAGGTTGCAAATAACCACAACCCTCTCAAATTTGCTTATGGAAAGTTAATGAAAGGATACAAGGTATTTCACAGAGCCCAAAGTCAAGAACCTGAGCCCAGTCTTATGAGGAACTGGGATCAAGTAACTGAAGGGAACTGGGGTAACTGGACTCTCCATCTCTACTTCTCTCCATCTCCATCTCTACTCTGGCACTGACTGAGTGCTCACCCGACTTCTCTCTGGCTACTTTACTTCATTCTTCTCCTTCCTCCTGTCTCTTTGTCTCTCTGTCTCTCGCTGTCTCTCTGTCTCTCTGTCTCTGTCTCTCTCTCTCTCTGTCTCTCTTCTCTCTCTATCTCTATCTCTAACTCTTTCTCTCATGTTTCCTCAGCTCCATTTCTACATTGTTCCAAAGCTTGCCCACCCCACCCAACTTTAGGGATCCTTACAAATCTTGCTTCTCTGAGTCACGTTTCTGAATTTGTACTTAAAAGATTCAATTAGCTCAGTCCAGCTCCAGAGTCAAGTTTCTTCAGCTGTGCTCAAGGAGGGATAGAAACAGGAGCCATGAAGAACTGTGAGGATTTAGTGCTCAGAGAAGGGGCATAATCTGAGCAAGCACCATGGAAGCCATCTCTTACAGTTTTGAAATAACTTGAACAATTGTTAGCAGGAAAAGGTTATGAGAAAGATTTTCTGGCAGGGGGAGAGAGGTAGTCATTGTGTGCTCGTCTCAAATCAAGACCCTCAGCCCCACCGGGAGAGAGGGAGTGGGGCTTCCCTGGGGCCAGCCGAGCTCTCCCTGACCCCAGCTCTTCCTTCCCCATGGTGGGACCTCGTGTGCACACACAAGAACTTGCTCCAGTTGAGTCAATTAATTTCGTGGCAGGAATGGTGGTCAGAAGCTTGATATTTGAGACCTTGACGCACAGGTCAGTGGTGGACGAGGCTGGAAGATCAAGGAGCAAAGGCATGGG